GGGGGGGGGGGGGGGGAAGGTACATCCAGGGGAGGAGTACTGGCAAAACAAAGTATCCTCCTGGTTCATTGTCATCGTCAGCAAGTCATACCCCCCACCCCAAGTTCACCTGCAGTTTGTAGTCTGACTTCTATGGTCAGGGATCCCGGCTCAGTGGTAGAAAGTTGGACTGCTTAAAGCTCAAGGACCAAAAAACTCCAGATTCAAATTCCAGGTCATCCAGAGTTGAGGCTGAGCATAATCGGCCGACAATGGCTAATGGCTCGAAAATGACAATCCTTGTCCTTATCGGTGTACTTTCCGGTGCGTTCTACATGTTCGCCATGCAAATTCCTGCCACGGCTCTTGATTTATCCTCAAGACGCAGGGGGACTAGCACTTCCTCTAACCTGATTGACGAACGTAATTCTCGCCGTATGGTTGTCCCTTAATATGCTTCAATACCCCAGAGCAAGGAGAAGCTCGGCCCGCCTGAGCCCGGTCTTGACACCGGGCTCAGGCGGGGGAGGAGGAGAGAGTGTAGGTAGATGCTACGTTAGTCTACTGGCATTATAAACCCCTGCGTAAGTCACCGTCCCTGCTCCCACAATGCAGTCTGTGGGGCACACGATGGACATCGTCGAAATCGACGGTCGAACTGTGTGTGTGTGTGTTTGTGTATGTGTGCAGACGTGCCCTCCAAACGGGCCGCATGGTAGAAGCAATGGACCAACAAGGGGGCCATGTCGGATTCCGACAGGTGTTATCGGAATTGCACACCGTAACAAATGTCAACAGTTCGAGTGCGGCGGGGGGACCGCTGACCGGCAGACGTCGCACACACTGGGACCCCTGCCACCCCTCCCCTAACCGTTGTCCTTAGTCAAAAACCTGGTCATTTTTTGTGTGGACCAGGGGGTGTGGTGGAACGCCAAGGTGAGGATCCGTCCGAGCCATCCACCTGCGTTCTTCCCCACCTCCGGTCTTCTTGACTCTGTTTTGACACCGTGTCCAGATGGGGGAGGCGGAGAGAGTGCGGCAGATGTTGTGCAAGTCTACTACTACTATAAACTACTTCATACACAAGCCACCGTTCCTACTTCACATTGTTGTGAAGCACACGGTGGACATCGTCGGCAACTCAAGGTCGTTGACAATCAACCCTGACCGCCCTCTTGATCCCCTGTGGACATTCTCCACCGCTTCAACAACTGCTGCGGAGGCGGCGGCGGCGGCGGCGGCGGCTCGTATCCCCACCACCACTACACACAATCCTGACGCACCGTCAAACAGAAAACTCACCACCGCCAGCACAAGTGGTGTGGATTCGGCCCAAGCCTGTCCTCATTGCGACCACACATTCACCCCACCCAAGGGCTTGGTTGGTCACTTACAAATCCATTTCACAGAGACTGGTGAATCAGTGCCTTGAACACCAACCAACATTCGCCTCAGCAGCCGCAACTGCCCGCACTGCCCCCGGCAACATTTATTCACCTCATGACCCTACTAGGTAACATGAAAACCTGCGGTAGACAACTGCCGGCTGTACCACACCATCACATCTTCCCCCATCAGAACCCGTACCACACAACAGCAGCATCGCCCACCGCAAACACTCGATTGTCACCTCCCATGCAAGTGGGAAGTGTGCTCCTCGGCTCCTTTTCTATGTGGCTTCTCTTCTGCGTGTGTGATCCGGGTCTGAGCCTATCACGGTGCGCCGAGCGCTGTGTCACGGAAGGCTACCGATTGACGCCCCAACTCAGTTCACGCAGTCTGCCCAATTGTGTGTGTGTTTGTTTGTTTGTTTGGGTGGAGTAACGGACTGGTGGGCCGAGAGCTAGGCTGAAACGGCTCCTTCTTAAAGTGCCCTCTGGCATTCCCACGCATGTGAGGACTGCATGTATCTCAGTCGCTGGCTGACTGCTTGCCCAGCTTTTGAAAGCTGATGGCCAGGTGAAATGCAGGGCTACATGTCACCCCTCTGGGCCTCATGGATTGTAAGCACCTGTTATTCCTGATCACCAAATCATAGCCCTCGCAGTCTGGTATGCGCTGATTGTTCTCTGACACCTGGTTACCTGTTAGCAGATGAGCTTTCGCTCCCTCCGGGTATACAGGTCGTGACTATGGCTTCCCAGTCGTCCCCGTCGCCTTTCTGACCCGTTATGGTGTTATTATCGGTCAAAATCCCGACCAGGTATTTTCTGTGGACCAGGCGGTGTGGCGGCATGTCTAGGTTCAGGCCCGACCGTGTCAGCCACCTGCGCCCTCCCCCGCCTCCGGTCTTCTTGACTCTGTCCTGACATCGGGTCCAGATGGAAAGCAGGGAAGGGGGAGTGTAGTAGATGCTGCGCAAGTCTACATTCATCACCAACTAAATCACGCGCAAGTCACCGTGTCTGCTGCACCTCGCTGTGGAGCACACGGTGGACATTGTCGGACACGACAGCAGAACTGTCATGTGTGTGTGAGTGGACTTGAAGAATTTTAAGATACCCACTCACGTATCTGAAACACTGTCCTTATCTTTGACCAGTTTTTTCGGAGAGATCATGGAATATAATTAGGGGATTGTCAGATAAAAATACAAAGGTGTTTGTTTTTTTTAAGTCGAGCGTCCTCCTTCCAATTATGACAACTGAAGAATACGCACGACCCTATGAAACCACCATGAAAAATGAATTCCTCGGACACACACTGCATTGACCATTAATTTTTCTAACTATTTATACACAGGTCATGCGTTTTTTCCATGATGATTGATATTGCACCACCACATGCATAGTCTCTCCCATTTGGAGGCCTATGGAAAGCATTAGTCAGCGTCTCACGAGTCTCGGCACCTACCCAATTTTGGGTATTCTGTGGACTAAGAGCTTTCCCAGGGCATTCACTTAGGGCCAATTCTTCAGAACAACCAGCTCCAGTAACTGCCACCTAGCTAACGCAACTATTTCTCAACCATTGCAAATACAACCACGCACTCCCAATAGCTTTTCTTTTGCATACAACTACTTGACCTCGTCGCCTGTGCGTTCCCCGACTCCATCTGTAAAAACCCCTATTACCACCGGTCCCTTATTAGAGATGACTGAGGTTTTGTTTACTTCAGGTGGGGCTACCAAACCACATCTGACCGTTTTTTTCCTGCTGACCGGTATTGACCACCGCGCACGATCTTTTCCATTTGGAATCTCATGGAAAGTATTGAACAGCGTCTCACGAGTCCCGCCACCTACCCTATTTTGTGTTTTTTTGGACCTAGAGCCTTTCTAGACATTCATTTAAGGCCGCTCTTTGGGAATAAACAGCTCCAATAGCCAAAATCTGGACCTGTGTCGGTCTTTTCGCCACACCTACTCTGTTTCTGACAAGGACGCACCTGATCCACAAGTTCATCCGTCAAAGTCTTTTGCTTTCCTGTGATGGCGAACTCTGATAGGGTACCGAGTGCTCAGACAAATTCACGGAATATTCTGACTTTCACATGCCTCTCCTCCTTTCTATAAAAAGATGAGAAACACATCTTTTTCTCATTAAGAGCTCTTAGCATAGTCACTCTGAAAAGGTTCGACTTCAACTGGGTTACTTTTTACCGCCCAAATCAAACAGATTTGCTTATTTACCCTGGTGGACAAGCTCAGTCGCTAATGCAACTATGAATCATTCGG